TCACACATCACAGCATCTCTTTCAGGAGTGAACTATGATACCTAAACTATTTTTATTTCATGTAAAAATAAGCTGCAAAAGATCTGCATAATTTGCTTGTTTTAAACAATGAACTATGAAATACAGAATATAACACAATAGGTAGATAATGCATATAACACAGTAGGTATAATAAAACACTAGGTTTCCTCGTTAACATATACACTTTTCGGTACTTTCCGTTCGCTGTCGCAAATCTGCCAAACAGACTTTAGGCGACAACATACAGTATACACATAAAAAAAAGTTAACAAATGTTAGTTCTAAGAATTTTGTATTTTGAAGGCATAAACATTTTAATATCGTTTAAAATTTTGTAAAAGACAATAAATTTGTAAAAGGCCAATAAATAAGGATAATAAATTTGTAAAAAGACATTAATTTGAGAATTCACTGTGCTTTCACGGTTCAACATCCTGATTCGCCGGTTCGTATCACGTGATTCCAAGTGATCTCATCTCACGTAAACTGTACTTAGCCGAAGTTTTGCACATTCAGGCGTCCACAAGTCTTGTAGCAATCGTCCATCATTAAAATATTCTTAAGCATCTCTTCCTCTTTAAAATCTATAGTTTACGTCATTATTTGCATAAGTTTCTAGCTAAAGTCTTTTCAATATTACAACGTGTTTATCCATTCTATTTTTTGAAAATAAAATCAATGAAGCATAAAACTCGTCGTCCTAAAAGGTATGCTTTCATATTTTTTTTTAACTTTAAAAACGTTTTTGGGTGGAAAACTTTCGTTACAACCAGATACAAATATTCTTAATGAAAAACTTAAAGCATCTGAAAGAAAACTTGATATGCAAAGTGCATTTTCAAGTTCTATCAGGATAATGACCCTAAACATATAATCCTGAAAGTACGCTTGTGATTATTAAAAAGTTGTCTTGACATTATCAAAACTCTTCCAACTTAAATCTTATGGAACATGTGTGAAGTGAGTTAGAGAAAAGAAGAAGTGAACATTGCATTTATACGAAAGCTCTATTAAAATCAATTCTTACGCAGTGGAACAAAATGAACATTCTTATTCAAAAATTAGTTAAATTCATGCAGAAGGGCATGAAAAGTCTAGTTTTAGTTAAAGCACATCAAGAAATATTAGATATTCCATTATTTTCATGTTTTTATTAAATATAAAATGCTTGTTTAACGTGTCCAAATACTTATGTAAGTTCATTTTCAGTACTTTTTTTAATTAAACTATTTTTTTTTTTTTTTTCTTGACAAAAAATTTTGAATTACGTTTTTCAAAACAAGCAGGTTTTAAAAAATATGATCAGTAGTATATGTGAAAGAAAAACAAAGTCATTTAGCTCATATTTGTGAACAAAACTGATAAACATGAATTCGAAAACAAGTGTAAACCACTCTCTATTTTCGTACTGCTTCATTTGCATCTATCATAAAGTGACTACACGTCCCGATTTTGGCGGGACACTCCCGCTTTTTGGAGGACTGTCCCGCGTCCCGCCGATTTTTAAAAATGTCCTGCTTTTTAGAAAACATCTGCATTTCTTATTTTAAATGTACTGTAAAAATATATTACCCATTATTTATTATTATTATAGTAATATAAAGAAAAAAAATAAAAAAAAAAGCACATAAATGTTGCAGAGTAAAATAAATTAGGCGATGTAACGAGTAGATTTACTCGGTGGTGTTCGATCATTGTCGTTAGTTTGTCAAGGAATATGTATTGTAACGGAGGAACAGCTAGCATAGCTGAAGGGCTATTGCTTTCCACACCATAAACACAATCAAGTTTCAGATCAACGATTGTACTCGCAAATGGTCAAACAATGTACGACAAAAAATTGCACGTGTAAGGCAAAAAACCGAAGCAAATTGTAAGTTTTTTCACTATATTCGTTTTCACAATTACAGAAGAATTAGATTTAAATGCTCCTTAATCATATACTTTATGATGCTTCCAACCACAAAGATTTAAAATTATTTCCCAGAAATGTTAGACTTTTGATCCAAAAACAGGAATTAAAATTAGGATATTAGATTTTGTTTCATTGTCGGGTGAAACTTCATAAATAATTTTTCATTTAATAAGTACTATTTTAAAAAAGAATAATTTGAACAAAAAATTTATTGCCTATTGTGAGGATAGCACTAACGCAAATTTTGTTGGAAAAGCTAGAAGAGAAATCAATAACGTTTTTACAAAAACTTAACGAACGTTTGAACCAAAAAATTATTGGAGTAGGTTGTGCAGCGCACATTCTACACAATACTTTTCAAACAGCATCTGACTTACTTCCAGTGGATATTGAAAATATTACTGCAAAATGTTATTCGTATATATATACTGTGCGTGTTGAAAGTTTGAAGGATTTCTGTGAAAGCGCAGAAATCAAATATAAAAGAAATGGGTGACATTAAAAAAGGAGATTTTATAAGAATATGTGGGAAAATCTTTTTAATATATTAGTAACCGTTTTCCGGAAAATAATATTTGCAAAAAAATAAGGTGATATAAGGTGTCATTGGTAAGGTGTCATTTTGATAAGGTGATAAGGTGTCATTTTTTGATAAGTTTGATTAGGTGTCCTTGGTAACAAAATATGTTACTGAAGAAAAAATTAAATGTTGGCTGTCTGCAAATGAGGGAACAGACAAAAAATTGGACGGAGTTATTCCTCCATTTTAAACAGAATAATTATTTGAAGATATCTGAAATATAAAAATTAAATATTTCGAAATTGTGGAACCGCGCTTCCCTTCCGAACAATACAGCAACAGGACTGTTTTTCTAGCATCAATAAATAGGACAATGAAAAAACGCGTGAACATTAAACTTTAAATCTGTATAGGGTAAAATATAATTGTCATTCATGAGGAAAATTTCACGACATTAATAATGATCCGAATCTATTGCAAAGTATTCACTCGATAAAAATATGACCGTGAAAGAAATAATACTTTTTTATAAAATTTTTAAATAATTAAAAGCATAATATTCAATTATAGTTTTTACAAATATTTATAGTTATAACAGTTAATAATAAATATATTTTGTATATTTAACAAGTATACAATGTATAGGATAAAAATTATTTTTTTTGAATTATGTATGTTTATAACTAAATTACAATTTTCATTTCATTCCATTTGTCCCGCTTTGTCTCGGTGAAAATGTAGTCACTTTAATCTATCATCAAAAACTCACAGAACTTTTCGGATAATCCAAGTATACAAGTATATCATTTTTTTAAACTTATTGTTGTCTGAACTGGAGAAACACAGGTATCATAAATCTGTAATCTCTCTCTCTCTTTTTTTTATTGTTATTTTTAGTCTGATGATTATTATTGTTTTAAACTTTTTTTTTTTTTTTTTTTTTTTTCTACACTGAATAACGATAAAAACAATGTGAAACAATTTTTGTCAGTTGCTGATAAAAATTATTTTCCTTTTTATAGTGATAATCGTGTGATGCAGAAAAGTTTCAGAAACTATCTATCTGCAGAATATTGCAATTAATAACGTTTCAGAAACTCACAAGGAAGACACCAAAGAATACGCAAATTAATACATTTTTTAGACTATTAACGAATTTTGTTTCTTTATTCTTTCTAAGCAAATCCTATTTCAGAATAAAAGGTTATAATATTAGAATTATTACTAATATTAGAATATTTGCAACTTATGCTGCTTTTCCCTCCATTCAACCACTGATAATGAGAGAAAATGTAACTACATTTAATCTGAATGTAATCTTTGATAATCTTAAAATTTTACATTTAGCCTTATATAGCTAACTGATTAGTACGCATATAGTCATACTTCTTAATTATTATCCCAAAGGGGAAATTTGCCCAAAAGGGCTATTAATTTTATTTTGGCATTTTGCGTTGGTTCACTTTACAAATTGTTGCTACCAAATATCAGAGCCCTTCATTATATTTAAAGAAAGTAAATAATGAGGAATCTGCATGAATATATGTGTGTTTCTCACACTGTGCAAAAACAACGCTACCTAGACACATCAAATTTTGAATATCATAGTCCTCCACTCGAATCTGGGAAGCCCAAATTTGGAATTTGTTTTATTATCTGTTTTATATTTTGTAAAACACTGACGAACTTTTGATTATCAAACTCAACGATTTCAAAGCGAGCAATGGCAACACCGTACGGGGTGGAAAGCATTTTTATCTCCAGCGCATGAGACTGTCTATCGGAAATTCTAAAGATATGTTCTTTTAAAATTATTTTTGATACTGCTGTTGAATTTTATGGTTTAAGTGCGAAGAACATGTTATTTTATAAATAAAGGTAACACGCAAAACTTTGAAAAACGCCACTTTAGGCGTAATATAAAAATCTGAAAACTTTAATATTTTTTTTTCATTTGTACTAAGTGTATATTTATTTATTTATTATTCCAACTGAAGCTATAGCTACAACCATTACTGATTATTCTTGTACAGAAGGTGTTTACATATTTTGAAATGAATTCGATGAAGAATTTTAAATAGCAATTGCTTTGGAATAAAAATTTCTGGCATTATTTAAAATAAGAAATATCGCCTGCTACTTTTAAATTTATTATTCTTTCAAAATGTCGCATGCAAACGAGCTGGGGATTGAAGGATACGTTTTTGCGCTAAAAAGCTAAAAAAAAAAAAAAAAAAGCTATTTTATTATTCAAAGCTTTGTGAAAAGCATGGTATTAAAATTACTAAGTGAAAAATAAGCCATATTATTAACCGAAATGGAAAAACTGTGAATCAGTACTTCAGCATGGAAAGAAGACTCTAAATGTATACCCGAAAAACGTAAGTACGCTTTCTAATATTTCTAAAGTTAAATCATCTGTAACAAAATCGGCACCGCAGAAATCAATTGCAAAGTCTTTAAACACATCTATAGCAAAAATAAATAAAATAATAAAACAAGCTTTACAACTTTAAAAAGTTAAAAAACATAATGTTCACCAACTTTTTCCGTGTGGTGGCTCAGTACAGTTTATAGAAACATCCCTGTATGAAAACAGTTTAGCTGGAGACTGGATGGAAATACCTTTTGATTCTTGATGAAGCAGGGGTTTATATAAACGGCTGCAGCAAAAAAGATCTATTTATTATCGAAAACAAAGAGTAAAAATGTACTAACCTGCTTCCGTTAATGCAAAGTAAGTTTCAGTAAGGGTTTTATAATTGTCCCAGGATTATCTTACAATGGAAAATAAAAGATAAGAAAAGTGGAAAAAAAATAATAATTGTAAAATTCAACTCTGTACTATCAAGAAAAATTTTATATCTGATATTTACAGAAGAGATTGGATTTCTTTATCCCAAAGACTTTCAAACAGCAAAACTTCATCAAAACAAAGCACATGGTCATACTTGAAAAGCACCACTGCAATCCTTGAAAAATAGAGACTGATACAGGTATTGCATATATATCTTTTCAGTATATTTCTGCAAAGTTTCGTTTATGGACTATCGTGCCTTAGGTCTTTTGAAAAGAGCTCTTTCAAAAGACCCACAACAACGATTTAAAAAAAAAAAAAAAAAAAAAAAACCCTTCTCTCATAGAAATCAAGATGCGAATTTATAGTTCAGAAAAAAGGCTATCAGATCAAACGTTTAATAAAATACTCTTTACATTTTAAACATTAATTAAACGGTCCCCAAGTCGTTCTAAAATGTGTAAACATTTTCTGTAGTTGTTTTATATTATTCGACGAAGTTTGTCATTACCTGAAGTTCAAATAAAGGGCAAAAGCCACACTCTAAGTGGGGCCTCATAAAATTCCTTAGCGTAAACATGGTAATTTCTTTAAACTGACTGAAATCCCAGCAAATAGGTTGGATATATGGGCATTTTCGCAGTTTTTCTTGTGCAGCATGAATACAAGCATATTTTCCTTAAAATGTATTTCTTGAAGACATCCATTCCCTTAATATATCTCCTGTAGACTTTGCCAAAATCAACTAAGCAAATAATTTTGTCTTCTCAAATTTTCCAAGAGCTCATTTCTTTCTTTTGTAGTATTTCATGAATTACCTGAATTTTTTGCTTTACATTTTAAACTTAGAATGAGGTTTTTAGGTCTTATGACAGTCCTTTAATATCTTTCGCCTTTCAACGGAATTTGAGTGACCGAGTGGCTAAAACAAGGAAGCGGTGGAATTTCCATTTCTAGTTATATAAATGGTGATGAAACTTGTCTGAGTTAAGGGGGCTCATACATCTTAAACCCCTTGTGATCTTCGAATATGTGACTGTTGCAAGAATTGAGATAACTTATTTATTTTAAAAGCAATTACTTCCAAGTTTTTATGGCTCACTACATGATATAGCTTCTTTCTGAAATCGTAATCAGAAAGTTTTTGTTGCCACAATATTTTAAATTTAATCCACTGTGTGACAAAAATTTTCGTATGTTTCACCTTTGCGCAAAGTTTTAATTATCTGTTGCATTATTAATTCATAGTTTATTATAGCTTTTATAACATTTCGAAACTACTGAAACCAAAAAAAAGGAGAATACATGTTAAATTTTTATTTATTTGAGTTGAGTTTATAAAAGTATTTTTATTAAAAATATCTGTAATATTTCATGTATAAAATTTCTAATATTAAATATTCATCATATTTTTGGTTTAGTTAAAAAATAGTGCCCATAAAGATTCCATCCAATTTCAGGTATGTACCATTAGCCATTTTTTCAAATATGCGCGCAAGGTGGAAAAATGACGAACAAATTGTCACAAAGCGGATTAAATTACACAAATATTTGTGGCAACACAAACTTCTGGTACTAGTTTCCAAAGCAGCTATATTATGGTCCTGTAAAAAGTTGGAGGTTATTACTTTTAAAATAAATAAAATATCTCAATTCTTGCAACAGTCACATAATTCGAAGCTCATAAGGGGTTTAAGGTGTATGAGCCCTCTTAAGTCTTTTGTAGTTTCCACTTAATTGTAATGGGAATATAAGACGACTTCCCTTAAAAATACATTCCTCTTGCTTTCGGATCCACCTACTTAGACATTCTTTCCAATAGCAACTAGCCCTTGAGAGCTTTGTATTAATTATATTCTGTTGCTTTAGAGTAGGTACTTCAAGGCCAATTTCTGTCGCCAAACCATGATTTATAACCATGGCAACCGCTGTGTAGAAAAGTGATCGAATCCTCTAATTTACTAAATCTCCTAATTCCCTTTGTAGGGAAATGACGACTCACGCTATAATCGCAAACGAAGACAAGGTCGCTACGATCTGTTTTAAAGTAAATGATTATATATATACATACATGATTATAAATATATATAATATATATCTATATATATGATGACTACATTATATACTCTAGATTAAAGTTAAGTAAATCATCTCAGAAACGCATCCTCATTTCTGCTGTTGAGCCAACTTCATTAATAAATTTTTAATCAGTCCTTTATTTTTCTCTTTTATTCCAATTGTCCACAAACTCGCTTTCTATTTTCGCGAAACGTTCGGAAGAAATTGCAGTACGTAACTGGTTCTTTACAGTTGTTTAAATGCTTTACACTTTATTTATGTTACCTTATTACTTCCTTGTACGAAGTAAAGGAAGTATTGTAATAACGAAAAATTTCGGGTGTCATATATTAAAGAAAATATCCATTCAGACTGCTCTCGAAAACATTTGAACGATGTTTTTACGTGACTTCTGTACATACGGACAGAATAAAGGACTGTTTTTGCCAAAAATGCTTTACGCTTTATTTATGTTACCTTATTACTTCCTTGTACGAAGTAAAGGAAGTATTGTAATCGTGAAAAATTTCGGGTGTCATATATCAAAGAAAATATCCATTCAGACCCCTCTCGAAACAATTTGACGAGTTTTTACGGACTTTGTAATACGGACAGAAATAAAGGACTGTTTTGGCCAAAATGCTTTAAGCTTTATTTATGTTACCTTATTACTTCCTTGTACGAGTAAAGGGATTATTGTAACGTGAAAAATCGGGTGTCATATATCAATTAGCCATTCAGACATCTGAAACCATTTGAACGATGTTTTTACGTGACTTCTGTACAGGACAGAATAAAGGACTGTTTTTGCCAAAAATGCTTTACGCTTTATTTATGTTACCTTATTACTTTCTTGTACGAAGTAAAGAAAGTATTGTAATCGTGAAAAATTTCGGGTGTCATATATCAAAGAAAATATCCATTCAGACCGCTCTCGAAACCATTTGAACGATGTTTTTACGTGACATCTGTACATACGGACAGAATAAAGGACTGTTTTTGCCAAAATGGATTCTAAAATGGATTTAAAATGGATTCAGAAGAGATTTTTTCTTGACGTATGTATGCACGTATATATGTATCTCGCATAACTCAAGAACGAATATCCATAGAACGTTGAAATTTTGTATATGGGACTGCTATAATATGCAGTTGTGCACCTCTGTTTTTCGTTGCAATCGATTGTACCAATCGTATATAAATATGCATATATGTGAGCATTCCCACTCTGTTACGTGGCTCGGTTAGCTTACTATTTTTATTCTTATATATTGTTAAGTTGTGCATTTTTTGCTTTAAAAGTGATTAAATTATGTGTTTTTTATGTTCAATTAAGATTTTTATGCCTTTAGTTAATCTGCATACAATATTTGTAGAATTATCAACATTTTAAAAGTTGATGTGGAGAGTTAAGCCAAAAGAGCCGCCATTTGTTTGCATTCGAAACTCGATAGAATAATGAATTAAGTCTGTTTCTGCACCATCAATGTCTTTTTGCAAAGTGGGACCAAAAGTAAAGTTTCAGTTTTGTGCCCCGAAAAATCTGACTTCTTGCCTGCTGGCCGAATTACTTGTTTTTGTGTAGAAACTCTAATTTGAATTTTAAAAATTGCTCTTTTAGCTGTTTTAACTGTATTTGGTGTTTTATGGTTTTCTGTATTTTACCATTTTTAATGAAGACGTTTTGAGTTTTTATGTATTTTTGCTTTGCCGCGAAGTAAGAACTTAAATAATTGGATGAGAAATATATCTCTAATAATGAAATTGGAGGAAATATGTTTAAATGAAATGCAGCAAAAAATTTGTATAATTTAATAGGCCATATAAGTAAATCAATGCGATGTCCACATCAGATTTTTTGTACTCGCTTAAATGTCAATTGTTGTCCCCCTCTCCTCCACAGACCTAAGTAAAAGCTTCCTTTTTTTATTTTGACTTTCAGTCAACTTGATCGCCAAAGTCTACAAACAAGACAGTCGTTAGTTTAGTCTTTTAATTCTAAGCTATATATTTATTTGGTGGCATAAGTACATGCAATATGGTTTGAACTGGGGTTGTTTCAGCATTATACAGAAAGAATTTAAAATAACGGAAATTACAATAATTTAAGAATATTAAACTGAAAAACATATTTTCCGAGGTTTTCAAAAGAAAGTTAAAGGAAAGTTAAAGTTGTCCAAGTAACAAAAACAAAAAAAAAAAAAAAAAAAAAATTCTTGCTTTGTCAGCCGAAAAGACTGGCTGTAAAACTGAATCGTATAGCACATTTGATTTATATAGTTGATTCGTTTAATACGATTAATTAATCGGAAGAAGGGAAAGGAGTCCCAGTCACGTATCACAGCGGTAAAATTTTAGTTTATATAAGAAACAATTAAAAAAATATAGCTTGCAGTGCGTTCAAAATAAAATTAAGCAAGTGAAAAATATATAGCTCTCTCCCCCCCCCTCCTTTAAGAAAGGAAAGACGTTTTAAGGGAATAATACGAGTGTGAATATGAAGCATTAAAACTTCATACACAGCTAACTCTATTCACCATGAATATAACTCAAGTCGATTTTTTTGATTGATTATGGCAAACCAAGCAAGGGCTAATCTGCCTAAAATGCCTTCCTGGAAGACTTCCAAAGGAGAACTTGCTCGTATTCACATGACATGGGGAAACACATGAGGAAAACTACGAAAACGCCATCGCAGCATATCCCTCTGTTGAGCTTTAAATCTGGGTCGAACTATCAGTGTTCAGTGACTTTACCGCTTCACTGCTGGTGAACTTAATCCACGTCAAATAACTGTGTTCAGGGTTTTACCCCTCGGCCGTCATGGCCT